TTTCAACACTCCCCCTCAAGTTGGAGCATGGATGTCATGCATGCCTAACTTGTTGATTGCTGGTTCAAAGCTCCTTGCAGACACGGCTTTAGTTAGAATATCTGCCAATTGGTCCTCAGATTTCACATGGGGAAGTTGGATAACATTCTGGTCCAGTTTTTCTCGGATAAAGTGGCGATCCACCTCAACATGCTTTGTTCTATCATGTTGTACTGGGTTGTGAGCAATCTCTATGGCTGCCTTATTATCACAATATAGTTCCATTGGCTGATTGAAGGGCATTTTCAGTTCTTTCAACACACTGCTGATCCATACCAATTCACATAATGCATATGCCATTCCCCTGAACTCTGCCTCTGCACTAGACCGAGCTACCACCTTTTGTTTTTTACTTTTCCAGGTTACTAAGTTTCCAAATACAAAAGTGAAGTATCCTGATGTAGAGTGTCTAGTAGTCTTATCCCCTGTCCAATCTGAGTCAGTGTATCCCTTGATATTTTGTGTGTCATGTTTAGAGAACAACAAGCCCTTTCCAGGTGAACTTTTAAGGTACCTAAGAATCCTGTACACAGCCTTCATATGATCAACACTGGGTGAGTGCATGAATCTGCTCACTATGCTTACGGCATAGGCTATATCTGGTCTTGTGTGGGACAAATAAATCAATCTACCTACTAGTCTTTGATAGCGACCAATATCAGCAGGTTCCTGGTCTGGATGTATCTCTAATCCATGGTTCATCTCCATGGGAGTCTCAACTGGTTTGCAAGCTAACATACCAGTTTCAGCCAGTAGGTCTAGGACATACTTCTTTTGGGAGAGGAATATTCCATTTTCTGATCTGGCTATCTCAATTCCCAGAAAGTATCTCAGTTCTCCTAAACTTTTTATCTCAAATTCTGTACATAAGTGCTGTTCCAGCAATTTCATCTCACATGTATCATCTCCAGTCAAAATTATATCATCTACATACACTATCAAAACAGTTACCTCTTTTCCTTTGTGTTTAGTGAACATGGTGTGGTCTGAGTTGCTTTGTGTATACCTGAACTTCTTCATTGCAAGAGTGAATCTTCCAAACCATGCTCTCGGGGACTGTTTTAAGCCATACAAGGCCTTTTTCAATCTGCACACTTTGTTTTCTTCAGTAGGATCTCTTTGAATTCCCGGGGGAATGTCCATATACACCTCTTCTTCCAAGTCTCCATTCAAAAAAGCGTTTTTCACGTCAAATTGCTTCAAGGGCCAATTCTTATTAGCTGCAATGGAGATTAAGATCCTAACTGTATTCAGTTTCGCCACTGGTGCAAAAGTATCTTGGTAGTCAACTCCATACTTCTGTGTATAGCCTTTTGCTACCAATCGAGCTTTATACCTGTCTATACTTCCATCTGGTTTTAATTTCACGGTAAAGATCCATTTGCATCCAATGGTTCTTTTTCCACTTGGTAGGTTTGCCATTTCCCAGGTGCAATTCTTCCTTAAGGCCGCCATCTCCACATCCATGGCAGCTCTCCAATTTCTGTTTTCTAAGGCTTCCTGCACACAACTAGGAATAGATATACTGGACAATGATTCAGTGGTCAGAGCATATGATTCAGAGTGTTTATGGCTTGACACATAGTTACTGATGGGATATTTGGCCTTAGAAGTGGGATCAGGTTCATACAGAGACTTAGGAATGCCTTTGGTGGTTCTTTGTGACTTTCTTACACACAGTGTGATGGGTGGTAATGCATGCTGAGTTTGATGACTTAAAGATGTATCATTAAGGTTAGAATTTACCTGATCAGGTTGCACTTGTTCTGGCTGAGATTGTGGTGGTTCCAGGACATCCAATGATGATTCTTCGGCTAATGGTGTCCCAGTTATTGTCTCCCGTGTGTGTGTTGGAGTGTTAGGTTCAGGGGAACCATCTAAGGTGGTAGGAGAGGCTACTTCAGATTCTGTTTGAGTTGGAGCTGTCACGTTGGAGCTGCAAATCCACTGGTCTTCTTCTCTAGTATGTTTGTTCTCCCCCTGAGAGGAAGGCCTAGTCTCTCCCCCTGAATAGTATGGCTCAGATTCATGAAAGGTGGCTTCCAAGGTGACATAAAGCTTATGAGACACGGGATCAAAACAACGATAACCCCTTTTCAAGTTAGAATAACCAACAAATACACATCTAACAGCGCAAGGATCTAATTTATTTTTCAACACTTTGGGTACATGAACAAATACGCTGCAGCCAAAAATCCTAAGCTCCAGATTAGGAATATGAGGGATGGAGAAAAAAGATTCAAGTTTTTGTTGGGGTGTTTTGAAATCAAGGGCACTCGAAGGTGTTCTGTTTATTAAGTAAGCAGCAGATGTAACTGCCTCACCCCAATAGTACTTAGGAAGGTTCATGCCAAATAGAGATGCACGAGTAATTTCCAGTATTTGCCTATTCTTGCGTTCAGCAAGACCATTCTGTTGAGGGGTATAAGTGCATGAAGTTTGATGGCGAATGCCGTGGGACACAAGAAACGCAGTAAACACACTATTTATGTACTCAGTGCCATTGTCAGATTGTAACACCTGGATAAACTTCTGAAATTGGGTATATACCATATTATAAAACTCTTGGAATGCAGGAAAGACATCATTCTTGTGTTTCAGGAGGACAACCCAAGTCATACGAGTGCATTCATCAATGAAACTGACATAATATAAAGATTTTGAAATAGAAGGTACCTTGGCAGGGCCCCAAACATCAGAATGTATAACTTGAAACGGAACAGAACTTTTATTAGTACTTGGAAAGAAAGGAATGCGATGGCTTTTGGCCAATTCACACACATTACACTGAAAATCAGTTTTATTGAGAGAAGCAAATACATGGGGAAATAATTTTTTAAGGTAACCAAAGGAGAGATGCCCTAATCTACGATGCCACAGCCACACAAGGTCATATGCTTTATCAGAACTAATGGCAGCAGAGGCTCTGGCGGGTGCAGTTACAGTATCTTGAGGGACCTCTAACACATACAGTTGTCCATGCTTAACACCATAACCAATTATCATCTGACTTTGGATGTCCTGTATCACACAAAATGTAGGCCAAAACAGTACATGACAATTGAGACCAGACGTAAGTTTTGAAACCGACAGTAAATTATAATCCAAGGAAGGAACAATTAGGACAAGATGGATAGTTAATTTATCTGAAAGAGTTATAGAACCTTGGCCCGTAATTGGGGCTATACCCCCATTAGCAGTGGTAATATGAGACCGAGAGGAAGGAACAATATTGGAAAGAGGGGTGGGGTCACTGGTCATATGATCTGAAGCACCTGTGTCGATTACCCAGTTAGAATTCCTAGATAATGCAGAAAAAGCAATAGACTTACCGAGGATACTGGAGCCTGTGGCCACATTAGCAGAAGGAATGGTTTCTTCAGCAGAAGTGCTCAACCCTTTCACAGCATTCTTCTTCCGAGGTTTCCTTGTGAAATCCCACCAAGAGGGGTAACCAATGAGTTCGAAACATCGTTGTTGAGAATGCCCTTTCTCTCCACAGTGAGTGCAAGTATACGAGGGCTTGCCACTCTTTTGTCGATGATGAGATGACGACACCTGTGTTGGTCGAGACTGTTGGGTGAAGAGAACAGTGGATTCACCGGTCTGGGAATGACCCATGGTCAGCCGTTGCTGAGCCTCACGTCTGACATAGGCATAAGCAAGTTCTAGATCCAATTTAGGGTCTTTTCGAAGAATTTCTCCTCGTACCTGGTCAAAAACAGAATCGAGACCATTAAGAAATATGTGTACTCGAAGACGAGACATAGAGGTATGAACCTGGACTACACCATCGACGGTGGTAGCGTCTGAAGAAAGACGCTGATCGATGTCTTGGAAGATGGACACCAACTCATTGTAATACACAGACAGGGGTCGTCCAAGTTGCTTCATATTGAAGGATTTTTGGTTCAGATCGAACAAACACGTCTCATCAGACCCATCATAGAACGTGTTCTTGGCAGCCTCCCAAATTTCCTTTGCCGTTTCGAGTCGAATAAAGCGCTGCATGAGGGAAGGACTCATGGAGTCAATCAACCAGCTCTTTACACGTTTATTATCAGTGACCCACGCATCATAAGTAGCATCGGTCAGATTCGGTTTTGGAGTGGTGCCAGTAAGGAACCCTCCTTTGTTTCGTGCGCCAATACGCATGTTCAGCAATTCAGACCACAGGGGATAATTGCTATCATCAAGAACGATAGTAACAGGGAGGGAAGAATGTTCCTGTTGGAGGATAATGTTTGGAGGAACAGGGTTGGGAGGGTCTGTGTTTGCGACATCATTTTGTGGAGGTGTGGCGTTGGCCATTTCGGAAGAAGGGAATTAGGGATTCAAATGGGGATGGGAAAAAAACAAAAAAGAAAAAGATGGGTCTTAGCGGAAAAGTAATGGGATGGGAAAAACCAAGAAAGAAAAAAAAATCGAAGGATACTGTTTGAGGTAATGGGTTGGGTAGCGGAATAGTGATGGGCTTACGAAAAAAAATCAACCTGGTTTACTGATACCATGTTAAAAAAATAAGAATAACTTCATTCAATATTTGGAATTCCACTGTACTGTTTCATTTCCATAACTCCAATATTTATACACAGAGATTAGCATTGAATAGCTATCTATTACCTAAGATTAAGGACTGTTCCGATATTCAGCAACTAACATACAAAAATAAGAATTGCTAACTTGCCTAATAGAATCAGAGAAATAATAGGAAACTAACTTATACAAAAAAATCTAACTATTCAAATTTAAATTACATTTCAACACCAACCCACCAGCTAGGTGGAAAATTAAATACATAACAGAGTATATCACAAACAATACAGTTCATCAACTAGAATCAACTTCTTCATTATTACTAATTTCTTATAAATCAAGACAACATTATATTGGAGGAAAGCATTGTGGCCCAGCAATTGCAGTCTCTCAAAACGTAAATGTGACTGGCAGAAGATTAGAACTTAAGCCTTCTTAAGAAATTCCATGACATAAAAGTTGAAAGCAGAGCACGCTACACGGAAACCTTGGAAACCAGCCCCCTTAGCCAAAGCCTCGAACTCTTTCTCTGTTCTCTCTTTTCCACCTGAGGTATGACACAACATTAAAACATCCATTTGAAACAGACACTTTGTGGCCAAGTTAGAATCCGGGGTTACTGGAATATTGAATTCAGCCAAAATCACCTTCCCCGTTTCAGGAATGGAATCATAGCAGTTCTTCAAAAGTTTCAAGCATTGCTCATCATTCCAGTCATGACATATCCACTGCATTTATAAATGGTATTTTTGTCATTATCATAAACAAGTGGCAAAAAATGTCAGTTGTCAAAATAATGCTAAAACTTGATTTCAAAATATGAAATTAATTAAGAGATTAATATTTTTCATGTTGTAGGAAATAATTTTATCTCTTATGCATATAAAAATAAGTGGAGCTCATATAGGTAATGTGAAGAGAAGAAAAAAATATATATTGACCTCAGACTTCTATACATGTGTACGAGATAATATCTACGACATAAGAAATATTAATCTCACTGATTAAAAACTCACCTTCATGAAAATGGCGTCACCTTTTGGAACACTGACAAACATGTCTCCACCAACATGCTCCACACCTGCACCAAACACCCATCTTATTAGTTCTTCTAGTTTATAACTTTGAAGAGACACTATATAAACTTCATATGGTATGAATAAAAAAGCACCTGGATAAGATGGAGCCTCTTTAATAACGTGGGGCAAGTCAAAATTAATGCCCTTTATTGTGGGATACTTGGAGACAATCATGTTAGCAATAGCTCCAGTACAACCTCCAACATCAACCATGGATCCAAGACCCTCAAAGCCTGTATAGGTCTCAAGAATTTTCTTCATTACGATGCTAGAGCAATCGGACATCCCCTTGTTGAAAAGCTTGTTGATCCTTGGATTTGTGCCATGGAATTCAAAGAAAGTCATTCCATAAGCATTGTCAAATGGAAGGCCACCCTCCTTAATTGAATCTGTCAAGTGGTACCTACAATAACACAATCATGAAAAATCTTTAACAAATGACGGTTGAGATGTATAGTACAAAAATTATGTGACATGAGAGAATTCTTTCTCTTTTCTAAGCATTCACTAATTATAAATACTTCAATTAGACCCTGATAATGATAAAAATAGGTCAGTTGTAATTTGAATTATCATTAATGCTTATGACGTGTCCTCTTCCTATAATGAGGCCGGTTTCTCTCCCGTCCATAAATTTTGTCGAATCCAAAGAAGAAAAAAACCTTGTAATCAAGCACTGGCATCTTCTGCCTTCGACAGATAGTACAACTTTTAGCTCTTCTTCATTGGCTAAAATTTTCTATAGTTTTTTCTTCTGAATAAAAAATTATTATCAAAATCACAGAAAATTACTGAAAGTTCTAACCGCATGCCCCTAATTTAGTCGTATATGCAAAGTGGTTATTGGAATTGAATTATTCGCACATAAAACTTTGATATGAATAAGTTAATGTTTTTTTCTTTTGCATAAAAAATCTGTTATTGAAGACAATGAGTGATATTAAATCACTAGAAGTTTGAATCCATGTAAAGAACATAAGGGAGTAGATGATCAGAATTATGAGATACAGTATAATTAGAACAAATCAGAACAGACTTACTTGTAGTCAGTATAAAGAATCAGACAGGTGAATGTATGCAGTAGAGGAATTAAATCTGAGCCCACAGAACGTGTCTCTTTAAGACAATTTTCTCCCTCACTGATGCCAAAGGTAGATGGACACTTGTCTCCCAGGATAGAACAGATTTCGTCTGAAGAGTGGCGGCACTACCAGTCAACAGCCCAAACGAACACAACAAAATGCTAGAGGAAATCACATCGGAGTATGAACAGGAATATGCCAACCGGAAGAAGGAAAAATTCCGGTAGAGTTTCAGTGCAGAAAAAATCGATAAATTTCTAAAGGTGTCAATGTCTATTTATAGACACTGACCGGTCACGATGAACTGCCGCCGGCGACGAACCGCCGTGACTGACGACGGCGAACGGGTTTGGCCGGTGACCGTTCCGACGAACAGGTACAACCAGTGACTGGTTCAGTGAGCAAACACAACCGATGACCGGTTCGCGAAAGGAAAGAACCGGTTCGATTCAAAATTGCTAAAAAAATCGGCGGGTAGCAACGTTTGGGTTTTAAATTTTGGAGGGAAGCAACGGATACATATTAACCGAACCGAACCGATCTGAGCCGGCCGGACGGACGGCAGCGGCGGCGCGCGCGCGTGTGTGGTGGATTAAAGCCCACCTAGCTCCTCCCCCTCCACAAAATGTGTAGTGACCCAAGGGCCAATCTAGGAGAGTGAGGTGAGAGCTTATAAACTCTCTCACTTCCAACTAGTTGTCCAATGTGGGACTTGTTAAAATCCACACACCCCTTTTACTTCCCTTTTCTCTCATCTTTATTAACTCACTTCTTATTCATAACTAATAGATCATTGTTCATTAATTCCAACAATCCCCCATATGGATAAGAAGTCAAATTACTGTGACAAAAATGCATAAGAATATAAATGCAAAGTGTAATTTCCTCATCGAGAAACAACTGCATCGAGATAGGTGGAGTTACCTTTGAACCTTCTCTAGTGAAAACCTATCGGATATACTCAGTCAATCGGTGGTCTAGCCGACTTGAACCGTCGACCTTTAGTGTATACTAGACAATAAGAGTCACACAATTGCTTCTCCAGTATTGTTGGTCCTTTGTTGTGCCTATTTTGGCCGTGGGACACCTGCTTGGTTTTGCGATTTTTTTAGAGAATCGGCCTTTGAAAAGTTCTCATAGAAGCGGCCTTCACTTCACACTCACATAGGTGATTTCTTATGATGTAACTCACTATACATCATCTGAACACAACAGATTAAGAAATCATTAAAAGTCTAAATGCTTACCCTCATAAATACACTGTCTTGTCATAGGAATGAGTATGAGTTTAAAACTCCACAGTGTTTGAACAGTCGAACATCACGTAGTTGTCTCCTTGAACCTCGTTCATGGGATCTCCACTCTTCTAGGTAGAGTTACCGCAATGCTCAACAATTGATAGGCCTTAAACTCATTCCTTTCGACAAATTTTCAACCAACTCTCTAGTAATCCCTTTGGTTAACGGATCTGCTATGTTCTCCTTAGACTTAACATAGTCAATTGTAATAATTCCATTCGAGAGTAGTTGTCTTACGATATCATGTCTACAACGTATGTGTCTAGACTTACCGTTATACATGACGTTCTTGGCCCTTCCAATAGCTGCTTGGCTATCTCAGTGTATGCATACGGCTGGTACCAGTTTTGGCCAATTAGGAACATCCTCAATAAAATTATGAAGCCATTCGGCTTCTTCACCGACTTTATCTAAAGCAATAAATTCTGCTTCCATATTTAACCTTGCAATGAAGGTCTCTGTGGACGATTTTCAAGACACAGCACCCCCACCAAGGGTGAACACATATCCACTTGTGGATCTAGTGTCGTTAGAGCCGGTGATCCAATTTGCATCACAATACCCTTCTATAACTGCGGGGTATTTCTCGTAATGCAAAGCAAAATTTTGAGTATACTTCAAGTATCCCAAAACTCTTACCATAGCTTTTCAATGATTTTCATTTGGATTACTAGTAAAGCGACTTAACAGACTTACTGCATAAGCAATATCAGGTATGGTGTAGTTCATAACATACATCAAGCTTCCCAACATTTGAGCATTTTAGCTTTTGTGTTGCAGCTTTACCAGTGTTCTTTAATAAACTAAGATTAGAATCTAAAGGGTTCTTCACATGGGTTATATTCAAACTTTTGAATCTCTCAAGAACTTTAGCTATATAGTGAGTGTAACACCCCATATATATCCGGTAATGTTATCATACTATCGTATTAAGCAGCGCTTAATTAAAAATGCGGAATATCTTTTTCTTTACAATTATGATGTCCTTATCATTACCAACTTGCTTATTAATCAATTAATAAAACATCGCCTGTATGTAATTGCAATAAAACAGCTAACTGAAATACCTCATAATCATAGATAATAAAAGTGTGGCTCTAGTCACGGAACTACAACAACGTAGACCGGACCATCTAACAGTTTATACAACTCCAAATCAAAAGTACTAACATACAGTGTCATGGACAATCCCCATGCTCACTCAAATAAGGCAACATGCCCAACATCAGTCTCAATAACAACATAAACATAAATAGCGAAAAACATAAACAGCATCCATATCCAGTCATGGCAGCAAACAACATACTATCATCAACTAAGCTCTGGCCTCCTGCCACCAGAGGCATCAGTCACCAAACTACCAGAACCTGAAATAAGCATTCCCCAAACGTGGGGTGAGATCTCTAAACAAGAAATCTCAGTAAGACAAGGGGTCCTCAAGGATCTTCCACCCCAAGCTCACTTACATGTGCAATATAAGTTTAAAAGCAGATATCATCATCAGTTCTAAAACAGTGCAATGCAGCAGATAATCATGCCATGTGTGTCAATTCTATTCTACTGGCCAGAAAAATGCAGGATTTACACAGCTAAATACCCACACTAGTGCAAGACGCTACTTGCATTCACCTCGGATCACCATCTCGTATGACGCTACATACTCAGGTTACCGTCAAGATGAAACAACACATGCATATTAAAAGCCACTACACATAAGGCTCAACAGCATTTCAAATATTCAAAGCATGTAACACAGCATGCATACAACCATACCCCCATGGGACATGGTGGAACCACAACATGGCTAAACCGAGGACACAAAAGCTTACCTTGCAAGCTAACTCCAAAAGCCAAGAGTCCACAGCTTAAAGTCCAAACACAGCAGATTCACAATCTGTTATGGACCAATACTATATCAATAATAATACAACACAAGCATATAAATTAAAGACAACGCATTTTCTTATGTTTTACGTCTTAAGGCTCCATACCAAGCCATAAGTCCTTAATCACAACGATTCTGACTTAGTTCATTAATTACAGAAGTTCAACTTCATCAATCTAGGGTCCATAAACCCCCAATAGCCTACTGTACACACAACACAGCTACTGTTCTACGAAATCTCAGAATATCCGGATATTCCTCGGGACCATATCCGGATATGCCATATCCGGATATCTCACTGGACATATCCGGATATGCAATATCCGGATATCCAGAATCCCATATCCGGATATCTAATATCCGGATGTCCAAATCCCATATCCGGATATCCAATATCCGGATATTCCACGGGCAGATATCCGGATATTTCACGACAGAATGCAGAAACTGCATTTCGTGAAGATATCCTTCCAAGGTTGGGTTTTTACCGATTTTAAACACCTAAACATGCATTTCTAGGTGTGTTCAACATTACCCAACAACAAGTTATCATCTTTTAGTCATTAGATGCATCAAGGTACCATTTTTAAGCCTTAAAACTCAAGTTAAAGGTTGGTACAACATACCAAGGCTCAAAACTCAGAATGGAGATGCTCTTGGAGCTCAACACAGCCCCTCAAGTCTGACTCAAGGAAGATGCACGAAAATGGCTTCACAAAGGTTGGTTCTTCTCACCAAAGGTCACCACTTGGACCTCAAAATGCCATGACTATGGCTTTCAGCACCCAAACCACCCAAAACCAGCACCCTCACCCACACACAGAGGATGGAAACTCAGAATACACCCTCACATTTCCTCACCATGCATGTTCTTAAGTGTATACAAGCTCAAAGAGGGAAGAAATCAAGTAAAGGTGACAACTTGAGTTCAAAAATGGTGAAAGGAGGCAATGGAACAGTAAACCACCCTCAGCCCACCAAGTGCTTCACATAGGAATTCTGGTATGCCTAGGGTTATGTGCTAAAATGCATATATATAGCCACTTAGCCATAAAACACACAGTATTAACTTTAATTGCTACGCTTAGCATTTTAATCCCAAACTTTGGATTCTGAAACTACATAATTTTCTAAGAAT